TTGAGCACTCTAAATTGTCTCTAGGTGTGAGTGTGCGCGCGGTTGGTTGATCTCTGTGTGCCCTGCGATTGGCTGGCAACCGGTTCAGGGTGTCCCCCGCCTACTACCCGAAGACAGTTGGGATCGGTTCCAGCACCCCCCGCGACCCTTGTTAAGGATAAAGCGGATCGGAAAATGGATGGATGGATAGTATCTGTGGCTGATCATCGGCGGCCTCCATGAACACCCGATACCAAAACGAGGCCCGTATCGGCCTGATACCGATCCTTGCATCCAACAGAATGACCCTGCAACCTGGTCAGCTGTTCCCGATACCAAAACGAGGCCCGTATCGGCCTGATACGATAATAATGACCCTGCAACCTGGTCAGCTGTCCACTGTAGTGACCGCTGTCCCTCAAAGGGTTAAAATTCCACTTATATGAGTCTGAATCATTTCCACGTTTTCTGCTTTGTGTACGTGTAGAGAATGTTTGTCTGCGTGTGTGTGTGTGTGTGTGTGTGTGTGTGTGCATCACTTGAGCTGAAAAACATACACTTGCCGTCAGTGCCGTAAAGCCGCATCCATTATTGAACGTATTACGTGACTGTGTGTGTTTTAAGACTCTGTTGCTACGCCGCGGCGGGGGAAACTCATTCGCTGTCCCGTCAGCGGAGGGCCACGCGGGGTTGAAATAAAAAGGAGGAATTTAATGCCGAAAAGATTGAGAACGCGCTTTCGCTGGGAAACCTTTGTGCGGGAGCGGTCGGGATGTTTGTGTTTTGCGTGTTGTTGTTCTGTCCTATTCGTTGTTAAACCAGGCAACCCCACACAAAACAACCAAAAATTCCGTTGATTTACCTTGCAGACCGCCAATGTCTTGTTTAAAACTGTGTTTCCCAAACTTTATTTGAGGCAAAGCACATATTTTACATGGGTTAAAAAAAAATAATAAAAATCACACGGCACAAGTCATTTGGCCGATTTTTTTTGTTTTTGCACTTTACAACAAGCAAAAGTTTTCCCAAAGGATGCTTCAAGCACCTCACAATTTTAGTTTACTGTCAAATTAAACATCAAACGAAGAGAATTGTGCCTTATATTTTTAAAACAACCACATAACTTTGCCTTATAGTCAGATAGCTTAATGCTAACACTTAATGGGAAATACCATAGACGGCTAAAAAAAATGGCATCGGTGTTGCAGTGTTTTTAAAATCCATTAGCAACAAATATGTTACCACAAACGGTGAAGCAACGCATGGAGACAGACAATATGACAATACGCGCAGGCATATATTCTTCATCTTCTGCCAAGAACAACTAATGTTACGAAGGAATTGTGACCGTCGACGTTCGTATTCTACTGCCGCCACGTGGCACAGGCACACGATGCATATTGATGCCAAGCAAAAAAAAAAAAAATGTTTTGAATTATTTCTTTTCAATTGAATTATGTCATCATTGTGTTTTTATAAAGTATAATAACCTAGCCTACTATTTTTGTTTTTAAAAAGCATATTACAATTTAAAAAAAGCCCACAGTAATGTGCTACAGTCTGAGGCCACCGAAGGATTTTGAAGGACATTTTTCACTGCAGTAACAGCAATGACACAGGCTGCAAAATCATTCGAAAAATATGGAGTTCTACAAAACGGCCAAGGACAAAGGCTCAGATACGGGATATGAATTTTGATCAAAATCATCCATGTAAAATTATGCGATATATATATATATAATTTTTTTTTTTTTGATCAGAGGCTGGAAGTGACATTTTTTGAGCCGAACAAAACGCGACGCCGGATCACTTTTCCCTTGCTAATGGATAAAAATAAACAGTTAGACTTTACTGCCGAGAGTCAAAGTTGACGCAGATGAAAGGTGACGTTCCTCCCTAACAGGAGACGAGCTTCACATCACTTTTGTGTTTCTCCCTCTTCCCCATAGACGGCTAAAAAAAATGGCATCGGTGTTGCAGTGTTTTTAAAATCCATTAGCAACAAATATGTTACCACAAACGGTGAAGCAACGCATGGAGACAGACAATATGACAATACGCGCAGGCATATATTCTTCATCTTCTGCCAAGAACAACTAATGTTCCGAAGGAATTGTGACCGTCGACGTTCGTATTCTACTGCCGCCACGTGGCACAGGCACACGATGCATATTGATGCCAAGCAAAAAAAAAAAAAATGTTTTGAATTATTTCTTTTCAATTGAATTATGTCATCATTGTGTTTTTATAAAGTATAATAACCTAGCCTACTATTTTTGTTTTTAAAAAGCATATTTCAAAGTTGACGCAGATGAAAGGTGACGTTCCTCCCTAACAGGAGACGAGCTTCACATCACTTTTGTGTTTCTCCCTCTTCCTCCGACTAGTTCTTTTTTTTTTTTTTTTTTTAATACAACCTCAAACCAACTTCTCCTCGCCATCACGGGGCGTCTCTATTTCTGATGTGCTGTATCGCCACGGATTACCTAACGGTGTGTGTGTGTGTGTGCGAACATGTGAGCCTCTGCGGCGCAACTGTCGGTTGAGTCGTTCGGAAATTCACACCCTGCTTAGCCGCTTTTGGGTCAAATCATGTGATTAGGTTCTCTTCGTCCTGTGGGTGTCAGGTGTTCGATAGGAAACAGAGCGTGAATGAGAGGGAAAAGGCTGAACACGCAAGCGTATTGGCAGAGGAGCTGTCGACTGGAGTAACCGCTGTTCCCGAAAGGGTTAAATTATATCATATCGCAACTACAAATAATTATCATAGATAGAAAAAAAGTGGGAAAAAAATAACTCATATTTTTTGAGTGAAAAAAGGACACGTTTTTTTGTTGTTGCTGTTTTTTTTTTTTAAATCTGGATGATTTTTTTATTTTTATTTTACGAGCATAAACCAAGTTAAACCACTTGCATTTTATTCCAGAAACTCTCTCCCCCAATTTTTTTTTTTTTTTTTTAATGATGCGACGATACTTTATAATCATATCGGAGCTTTTCATTGGCCCGACTAATTCGTGTCAGACGGCGATTTTCAGAATTGTGGTGTTTGTAGGGCGCCCTCGTGTGGTACGTGAAAGAATCGCTGAATTCAATATGATTTAAAATTGGACTCATTTTTGAAATACAATTCGGTTTGCTTTAATTTTTAATGCAATACGTTTCATCTTCAAGAACTGTTGAAAACATTTCAAGCGCAGTGTTATCCTGGCTTCCAATAGAAAAATTCTGATAAACACACAAGCTCCACCCACACACACTTCTTTCTGTTAACGTTGCTCGTGATGGTACTTTCCAATTACGTTTCATCTTCAAGAACTGTTGAAAACATTTCAGTGTTATCTTGGCTTCCAATAGAATAATTCTGATAAACACACAAGCTCCACCCACACTTCTTTCTGTTAAAGTTGCTCGTGATGGTACTTTCCAACGATTCCACATCATTTATCGCGACTTATTTTGTGCAACTGAGTTTGAAAACCACCGCTCTCAAGTTCAGTAAGACGCCGCCCAAACAGAAAATATAATTACTGACACGTACGGAAAAACAAAACAAAACCATTTCCGCATATAAAGCCCTCATCAAAGTTAGATGCCAAAGAGACAAGAGATCTTGAATTGCCCTTTCTTCACCGGCTTGTTTGTGTCGCGAACTGGAAAAAGTCGACGAAAAAAAAATCATCCTGACAAGTCAGAGATGCGCAAGGTCGAAAGTAAACCAATTTTTTCCCCGGCTTGTTTGTGTCGCGAACTGGAAAAAGTCGACAAAAAAAAAAATCATCCTGACGAGTCAGAGATGCGCAAGATCGAAAGTAAACCAATTTTTTTTCCCCCCATAATTTTCCAAGATTATTTTCGAATGGGGTTGTGCCCCAACACTTTTTGTCCATAAGGCTCATATTTTGTTGTTATTTATTGCACAATCCTAAGGGGAGGTAAATGAGACCAGTTTTATGTCTCGCAGAGGTAAACTACAACCTAATTGTGGGCGTGTCCACGCATGTGGATATTCCCGCGTGTTACCGTGCCATTAACGAGATTGCAGAAACTCAAAATAGCCCCGGGGATAGACAAAGGTAATTGGCTTGGGGGATAATCACAAGGGAGCCAACTGAAGCGTTTGGACATGGTCGTTTGGCTGCCTGATGATTTTATTAGCGGAGGATAAGCGGTTTAGCGTTATCGTAAGGTGGATGCCGTGCCTAAATCTATCCCATCGCGGTTTGATTTCTATCAATGGTGGGAAGGAAACAAGTGCTATTGGCGTGACTAAAAGCAGACAGTGAAATAAATATTAAAAAAATAAATAAAAATAAGAAAAATCAGCGAACCACAAAAACATGGTGCGATTGTCAAGGAAGAAGCAGGTTACTACCATTGGCTAATTTGAAAGGCTGTTGACAGTGACTTATTTCCCCGTTCACTGACTTAAAGCTCGGAGTGCAAATACTTTGACAACCTCTAGTTTGTTGCGCGCAAAATCTGGGCATTAAACTGTTTTTCCACCAACACATAATTTAAAAAAAAAAAAAAATAGCATAAGCTCATGCTTGACCATTTCAGGAGCCCCGACCGCCTGCTAGGCAAGCGGTCGAAACCTTGCAGATGGATTTACGCTAACGCTAAGTGTCTCACACACACACACACACACACACACACGCACGCACACGTTGCCAAGGTTAATTGGAGGCATTAACGTGAAGCCTCGCGCCTCGTCCAACCACCAAAGTAAGCCGCAGCTTTTTGCAGAGCGTCGACGCCTGCATCTGTCCACTACAATTGACCGCGCACCATTTTCATCATATGACTCAAACCGATGCTTAAACGTGCTACAAAATGGTCCCTCCCCACCCCAAAAAAATATATATATATGTGGGGTGGAAAAAAAAAGTTTGTGTGGCGCGTTTGATGTTTTATATGAAAGGCTAAATTTAAAATATGAGTCACGCCATTGTCACCAATTTCACCGGGGCAGATTCAAAATCCACATCCCCAACAGCACAGCGTCGTTCCTCATCCCTCAGTCTATTTTTATTCATGATTACTATTTTTAAAAAAATAAGCATCGCTTTTCCTTTTGACTCTTTAGTCACTGTCTGAATAACAAGTGAAACCGTTTCGCTGCCGAGGGCCCAACCCGAGGCGACGGGTCCAATGGGCTTCAAATAAGATGGAGCGTGTGTGTGTGTGAGGGAGGGGATTGAAAAAGTCTACAAAATACGCACAGATGCTTTTAATGCATGGGGCAATAAGAAATTTATGCACACACACACACACACACACACAGTGTAGTGTTTATCACACCTTCGGGATTTAGAACATTTTGGACAGTGAACGGGGCTTTCGTGTGGTAATTCAGGCATGTGCCAAGCCCAGCTGATCACATCTGTGTGTGTGTGTGTGTGTGTGTGTGTGTGTGTGTGTGTGTGTGTGTGTGTGTGTTGTTGTGAAAGCATAAAGTGCTTACCGCTTCTCTGTGAGTCGCCGTTATGAAACAAGCAACTGTGTTTATTCTCTAAACCTTTAAGAAGATTGGTGGTGTTTCACGGCGCGTTTTTGTAATATGAGTGTGTGTGTGTGTGTGTGTGTGTGAGGCACGTGAGCTTTGCATTTTGTCTCCTGCTGACGGCTATTTTGCCTCCACGTGAGCCGGGGCCTCCGCGAGACAGGGCGGGCTTGGCGGGGGGAGAGAGAGAGAGAGAGAGAGAAAAAAAAAAGAATGCAGGGAGAAGGAGGCAAAATGAGGAGACAGGAACAAAGGGGAGAGGAAAGGAGGTTAGATTGGCGCTGGTGGGCAGAAAAAAAAACAGTGAAGAGGCAGGCAGATGTTGGAGGGATGGAGGAGAGGCGAAAAGCGGCTCGGGGCTCCGATGGAGGTGAAGTCATGCTCCACTTCGGGCAAACGGGCTTTAAACGCGCCGTCTGCTTCCTCCACGCGCGCACACAAACGCGCATTCGCACTTCAGTTTTTGGAAGACGCCAAAGACCTCATTTGCCGACGGCTCGCGATCCAGCCCGCAGCCGAAAAAGCGCCTTATCTTTGACCCGCGAGCATGAAAGATAAATGCCTCACCTCTGTTTCAACCCTTGATCCAAAAGCCCAACCTGTAAATCAAACACCCCAGACTTAATCTTTGCCCCCCACCGTTCTCCCCCTTCCTCACTCCAGGCGACGGAGCTTCTCCTAATCACTCGCTATCGGGATGCCAGTCGTCCGTGGGCAAAAAAATAGAAATGGAGTCGATCTACTTTTTGTACTGGGAAGAGTTTTTCCGTGATTTGACGGTCGGGGTTTTGAAATTCTACTATGAATTGTTTTTAGAGACTACATTGATTGAAAATGTGATTTTTTTTCAAGCAGCAACGTCATTATCTTGACATTTGCCGACGAGGTGTGCAGGCTCCCTCTAGTGGTGCAAGCAGGAATTACAAAATGAAATCAAATTGATACCTTTCAAAATATGCAATACAAAAAGAATAAAATTTGTCTCGATGCGTAAATTTAGTTTCAACTTAATCCAGAAGATTTTTCGAGTTGTCTAACTTTGAAACAGGTAAAATAAATAAATAAATAAATAAAACTGACAAAAAGTTTACCCGGCGACAATCGTTCGTACCTGAGTAGTTGCTGGTGGGAGTTTGCGTCTCCAACTCGATCCGCACCTCCTCCGCCGTCGTGGCCCGGCCCTCCGTCCGCAGGTCCGGCTGCGTCGGCACCGTGGTACCGCCGGCCCACTCCCCCGGGGTCGTCGGCGGGGTCACGTCGGCGCCCCGGCTGGAGACCAGCGCGGCGCATAGCAAAAAGCTCGGCAGCACCCAGACCCGCACGATCTGAGGAGCGAGTCCGACGTTGGGAACCATGGAGACGAAACGTGAGAGGATGAAGTGGGAGAAGTTCACAGCATCAAGGTCACGCGCGTTGACCCCATCGCTTTGTGGATCCTTTTTGCTTCAGGTCCTGGTTGGAAAATCCCATCCATGACGCTGGCTGCAAAGTAGCGAGCGAGTCTGGGGGTTTGTTTGTCCCGTGCTTTACTGCTGTTTGCGACTGACTCCCTCTCCTTCTCACTCGCTCTCTCTCTCACTCCCAACTTGTTCTCTGATCTCCAGCTGGGCCCGACTGAGCTCTTGCGTAACAGCCGCTCGCCGGCTGAGCTGCGCTGAGCTCTCGCTCATGCAGCGGCTGTGTGCTCACAATGCCGTGACCCGCTCACGTGCACCCCTGCCGCTGTTGCGGCCGTTGGGGGGGGGGGGGCGAGATGTCAGGCAGGCGATGATGCTATCGTCAAGCGGTGCACGCTCATTCACTCCCAAAGACGTTTTTAAACGTCTTTTCAGACTTGGTCCAGAATTGGTTGGTACTGAATGAGTTTTAACAGTACAGTGGACAGACGCTATTATTCGGTGGGGTATAGTGACACCATAACAATCCACGAATGATTGCAATAAACTCTAAAACCAGTTAAAAAAAAAAAAAATTGATGCCCATTCAATTGCAATGGAGGAAAAAAAACGGGTTCTTGCTTGCACGGGCCGAAACGTGACTGCGCTCTCTGTCCACTCTTGAATGAGTCTTTTCATGTCCTCGCCGTGTGTGTTATGATTCCAGGTACAAACGCTCAGGTGCACTCTGAATGTGATCACTTTTGTTTGATGCCTCTCCAGACAGAACGTCCACCCATGAATCATTGATGCACGTGGGACCAAAAATAGGAAGAGGCTAAAAGAGAGAGGGTGAAAAAAAAGAAAAAAAGAAAGTGAGGCAAGTCATTTCATAGCGCGAGAGGGTGGGCAGTGAGCGATGACATGAGAGCGACAAAACAATCGGACACCAGAGGAAGGACAAAAAAAAAGATCGAGATGCCTCTTGAGTGGTGATGCTCTCATCCACAGGTCAGCATCGCCGCCGCGGCTTCGTACATTTACGATGCACCAATGAAGCGATGCACGCTAATTTGACCGGCGCTGATTTGACAGCGCACATAAAGTGCATCAATTATTGAAAAGCCTCATTTACAAAGAAGACATTATTTCCAGGCCACGTCATACTATCGCTGTGAAAATCACATCTCGCCCAAAGAGGTATTTTATACAAGTGACTTATCGCATCCTTTTAAACACGAAAGAAACGGTTGTCATATTTGGTTGGTTTCATTCCGATCATTTTCCCTAAATCTTTGAACGATTTTGTGACGGTCTTGGTGAAAAGAACACCAGGCTGACAGTGAATGGCGGCGGTGGCAGAATCATGTTTTGCCTCAGGAGCAGTCAGTGTTATCACGAAAACCTTCTGCTCGCAAGCAAAAAAAAAAAAAGGCAGGAAAAGCCGACTAAAACAGCCGAACTTCATTTGGGGTTCATCAGAAGCACTTTTAATGGTGGCAGGTGTTTCCTGACTCCCATGTAACACGAGTTCGAGTGTGATCGATAAAATAAACGCGGACAGTTGTGAGGGTGTGCGCACTTATGCAATGAAGAACAATATCAATTAGGGTGTACAAGTCGTAGGGCACATGACTGTTGGGAAAGATTTTTACTCAAAGAGTAAATTTTGATGTGGGGAAGTATGAAACGCGTTCGCAGACATCCCCAAGCTGAGCAACTCATTATTATGAGCCTAATCCTTTACGCAGCCTTCTTGAAGCACATCAAACACTATTATGTAATATAAAATGTCGCACGCGCGCACACACACACACACACACACACACACACACACACACACACACACACACACACACACACACACACACACACACA